CGCACTTGCTCAGCAGCGCTTTTTACGAAGATGTACGAAAATGGCTAGATGACTAGTTTGGCTCAAAAGAACAACAATTTTTTTGGCGTGGCATCCACAAATTGTCAGACAGGTGTGAAAAATGTATAGCTAGCGATGGGCAATACTTCGAATAAAATATTTTTTATCATTTTTGTGCAATAAACGTGTATTTTCTATTAAAAAATTCCAGTTTCGTATTTACATACCTGGTATCAGAATGGTGACTGATTGTTGTCACAAATAAAGCTGGGAAAAGTACTTCCTTGGGTATATTTATATAAATCCGGTGTTCACATCAAATGAATTTTTAAGAATTTGTAGAAAAGAAAACTTAAAACTAGGTTTTTACAGTAATAATAAACTTAGTATGTGTGTGTGTTCATTAAGATCCAAAAGGATGTTCTCTCTAAAAATCAAAATAAAAATGTAATATATAAAATAACTTGTAAAGAGAGATTGTGATGCGTCTTACGTAGGACAAACTGGCAGGAAATTGAACACTAGAGTTACTGAACACCGGAATCACATTAAGTGGAATACTAATTCACAATCTGTTATCACGAATCACAGAATAGAATTGAATTACGATTTTAATTAGGAGAATGTCCAAATTTTGGACCACGAGAGATTTTTGAATAAACGTTTAATCTCGGAAAAAGCGCACATTCTCATGCAAAAAAATGGGTTGAATTTACGATTTGACACTGAAGGGTTACATCACGCCTATACGACGATGTTATATGAATTGACCAATTAAATTATTGTAAAGAGTTTAATGTATTTTCCACGTCTTAGATATACATAATTTATGACTTTTACATATTGATTTTTGTAATGTTAATTCATGACCTTATTGTCTTAGTTTGTGTTTCGGAATATCCTTTTGTAATTATAAATTGTTCGTTAAACGTTTTTCGTTATTCGGAGAGGAAGATTATAAATCATCAAGATGTACAAAATTAAGATTATATATAAAGATTATATTGGGTATGGGAATAAGTTTCCGCCCTATTTGACAAGAAAAAGATGTGTTTATTTAAACAAATCTATATAAGTGAGTTTATTCAAAGTATGCTCCTTCGGAAGCGACAACTTTCTCCCACTTTTCCGGTAATGAACGGATTCCTCGAATGAAAAAATCTGGTTCTTTTGAAGCGATCCATTCATCAAGCCATTTTTTGATATCTTCATAAGAATGGAATCGTTCTCCAGAAAGGGCCGACTGCATGGATCGGAACAAATGGAAATCTGAAGGAACAATGTCCGGTGAATACGGC